GCCTAATTCAACATGAATAACTGGTTCAACTCGGTTTCTGCTCATTAGTGAGCAGTTGGAAGGAACTGGTTAATCATTGTTTGCCATCTGCTTTGGAGAATCAACACTGTACAGACCCTTTGCTGCAGCCAGTGTAAAACCACAGTGCACAAAGAGCACTGAAGGAAAATCCTGTTTTCAGCTATGGGTTGTTTTTTGTTTTTTTTTTTCTTCAGTGCACACTAAACTGGTAAGTATTTTGTGGTTAACCCCCTCTCACTTTCCTCTGGACAGTGGTCTCTGTGGTACATACCACATCATTTAGCAGTCCCTATGAAGGTACAGCAATAGTGCTGTGGAGAAGCGTTAGCGGTCTGCTCAGTAACAACTTACTCATGGAGAGCCAACCTATCAAGCCACAAGGTCACCTTTCAGAAGAAGGTCAGAAGGCTTCTGGCCACATAGAAGATGCCACCTGTGGACTTTCTCTAATCTACTTTGGTAGAACACAAATATAGAGAAATATTAGTGACATTATTAGCTTCAGCTTCCCCCCTGCCCCATCTTTCTTCACATATGAACAGTAAACTCCTATGCACTCCCCATTGAATTTCCTGGGCAAAACCAAAGGCAGCCCCTTTCAGATATTTGCAGTTCTCTCAGGAAAGCTCTAAATTCTCTAAAACTCTCCAGGCTGTTTTATTAAAACCATCTCTAATTTCTTCTAAACATACAGGTCAGGACTGACTCACTGACTGTCTCCTCACACAAAAAGTGAAAATGAAAGAATAAAATTGGTTGACTATCCATGCTACTTTCTGGCTTATCTTCCCCATCTGGGGGGACTGACAAGAGCTGTGTCATAATTAAGAGAGGGAAGGAAGTTTCCAGTTTTAGATTAGTTTTGGAATCCAGAATCTTCCTCAGAAAATGAGGAAAAATATATGTGAATGATGTAATAACATTCCACTTAAACATAGAAAGATTGGTGGGAAAAGGCACTTCATGAACTGAGGTTTTATTAAAATATACGTTGTTAAGTGGCAAAAATATTGGAAGAAATGCCGAGCATGAGAAAATCAATACTGCTAGGCTCACTCTCCTATCAAAGATCTAGCACTGGGGGCCATAATTCAGGTTATTAAAGTCTTTTTTCAAGATTGATTAAAGTTCATTTTAGTAACATCAGCAGGGAACCCTGGCTCCAACGATCTTAATATTGAAAGTGCTAAAGACTGCAGTCTTCCAGCAGAAAATAAAAGTGTGTTCCTCTAGGCCTTCTTGCAAATACAGAACTCACGGTGTATTCAATCATTACGAAGGCCTGTCAGCGAAAAATATTTTTCCTTTAAAAAAAAACCCCTCATAAAAAGAACACTGGGATATGTTCCCTCTGACTTCTTCTTGCTCAAGCCATAAACTTTAATCATCCTTTTCTTTGCAGATTTCCTGGGATATGTAACAACTGGGGAGATCTACTCCTGGAGATTTCTGAGACCCGCCAGTGGTTTGTAATTTGAGATAACTGGTACCAACAGAAGTCTTAGAAGGAGATCATCCAGTAAGTTTTTGGAGACTTTGGGGTTCAGGACCCACCACTGTCTGATGTGCACTATGGGACTTTCTGAGAGTACTGCTGGGAGTCCCCTCTCTTACAGCTCGCAGCAAGAGAAAGAAAGATCTAAAGAGAACAGTTTGCAGAAGAGCTGCACTGTCTTCCAAAAGCTCAGCAAAAGAAGTCTTTGGAACAGAGAAGAGAGTTCAGTTGGATTCATTTCACAACTGTACCACGTATTTCCTTCATGATCTTGGGCAAATACTTGGGTCGGGTTTTCAGAAAAATTAGTTCGTTTCTGCTGGTTTCTTTAGATGCTAAAATAACTAGTCAGACTTTCAAAGGCAAACTGCAACCCAGCTGTTGGTCTCCCTGAAAAATTTACAAGATGAGTTGACCTATGCCAAAATGCTTTTAAATATCTAGCCTAACTGTTGAGGCATCTTGAAGTATTCACATCTGTGCTTCACTTCCACCTGTAAAATATTATGTTCCTACCTCTATAAACTGAGGAGAACAAACTTGTAATATGTCCATGAACCAGCTTTGAGAATCTTCAGTGATAAGATCATGTAAGTATGTAGACTGATACAGGGAACCTGTTTCCTGGGGACCCATCTCCCACTTCTGGCTTTGATAAGAAGGGAACTGTGATTCTACAAACCCCGAACTCATGATCATGAGATGCCCCGGGAGGTTGCTCTAAACTCTGCGGAGAGTCTGGCCTTCAGGCCAACCATGGGAATGAGGAGGGCATTTCTCACTCCTTTCTTTAACTGAGACAAGTGTCCCCTCAAATGTGTCTGTTGAGTTCAAATGTTCGCTGCACAGGTTATTATTATACAGTATCTCAATATAAAGCAGAGGTATTTAGACCAAGATTTGACTTCCCTTCCTAAACTCAGCAATGTTCTTTGACAGGAACAATTAAGACCACATCAATACGGACATCTTACTCTATCTTCAAATTCCTAAAGGTGTCTTTAAATACATTGCATCTACCATAAAGGTCAGTAGCTTGCTTAAAATTTAACTGAAACATTTGGACTTGGATGTGTCAGGATTAAAGGACCCACTCCCAAGACCAAACTCCTGGCGTTCCATATCACCCTTGTAGCATTCCCTCAGAAGGAACACGGTGTTTCTTGAACTTATTTTTCCAGAACAATTTAGAAGCACTTTAATTCACTGCTCATTAGGGTGAGATTGACACAGGTAATGAGATGAAATAGCAGCAAAAGTCCTCTCTTTCATCCCTCAGCTGGGCCCAGCGGAAGCCACAAGCCGAAGGCCTCGCTAGCAGGAATTTCACACCAGTTGATGCCCCAGCCGTTTTTTCTAAGAAATTGTTACATTTGGTAAGTTAGATTTAAAAGACCCATCAGGAAGATGTATCAATAGTTTTCTGCAGACATGCCAGAGTAGAGGGAAAGCAGATTATTAATGCTAGAGTATCGCCCTTAAGCTGGGCAGGAATCAGGCCCAATAAAACATAAGGTGGGCAACGACCTTCAGTCTTTATCTGTGCCAAGACACAACTACATAGGCCTGTGCTCTGGTGGACAATACCCAAGGCAGACACAAGAAGTGTACACTCTGATTCTTTTCCTACGGATATAACCACATGAACGTCTTTGCTTGACGATCGTACATGTTTTACATCTATATACATATTCCATAAAAATCACCAGCCTTTCACCAGCATTCAACTCATTATCTACACTCCCCACATTACCACATCAACGTTTTATTTGAAGTATCAGTGATAGCATCCCATCAAAATTTAATAGCCACTTTCTATAATTGAAGCGTATTAACTCTTGGTTTCACCTATGCTAAGGTTTATCCTTCTCCTTCTTTTAAAATTCTAATGATATTAAAAATAAAATACCTTTCTAAAGCATGACTCAGAAATGCATAATACTCCTTTCTTCAACTCATGGTAAAGGAAACTGATACAAGCAGAAGAATTCTCTATTCCAGTCTATAGCTTTATACTGAATCTTGAGTGCCAAACGAACAGGGCTTTTAAAGAAAATGTCAACAGCTGTAAGTTACATAAGCTATAGTTAGAAAAATATTTTGCAAGGAAAAATGACAGATTCTGTCACTTGAGAAGATGATTTATACTTCAGTTTTAGAATGCAAGCAGCCAACATGTGACCTGACATTTACTAAAGGAAACCAAAGAGACGTTCAGCAAGGTTACAAAGGAAAAGCATTAATCGTCCTACACCAGCAGTTCCTCTCGGTACTACAGAAAGATCTGCAGAGTCTTCCTCTCAATATTATGCGAGAAACCAGAAAGAGAGATCACAATAACAGATCTCCCTTTTGGCATTTTGTGCTAACTCGCTCAATTTACGAAGGCCATCTGGTGCTGTTTACACTGGCCTTTTCGCATCGTGTCTCGTGTTGTTCTTTATGGACGAGCATGATTCACGGTTCACATTCACTATGTTACTTTGCAAGAGAATCTGATGGTTAAAACTGCGCCCAAAGAGTGTAGAGCTGTTGAGGTACACACTCCACACGTGCGAGAACACAGTGAGCAGGATACCAAAGGCAGGGATGTTCAAATAGGAAGGATGGCGGGTCAGGTGAGCTGGCCTGCAGTGCTGGGTCTATTATCTACTTGCTGTATGACTCGAAATGACTACATGAGCCCTTTGGGGCTCAGTTTTATCACTTGTTAAATGGAGAACGTAATTCCCTATCTCACAGTGATACTGTGAGGCTTATCCGTTAATGGGTTCAATGCTGGGCAGATGGTCAATACAAATTTTATGCATCGCTGAAGTAACATTTGACCTCAGAGCTTAGGTGGCATATAGCCTGGTTGTGCCAGCCTCTTAGCAGTCACTGTATAAATATTATACATCCACATTACAGAAAAGATTTGAGGGACCTGACTTGTTCGTAGTGCTGATTTTGCATTCCTCAAGTCCCAAATCTACAGGATGACAAACGTAAAAGAACGTATTCTTTAAATGCAGTGCAAAACAGGTACTAGCACATCTCCTTGTAACGGTTATAAACGACAAAAAAAAAAAAAAAAAAAAAAAAAAATATGCAGCCATTTAAATGAATCCACCAAACTCTTATATTAAAGTCTCAAGAATGACCACTGATAGCGTCTGGAGGGATTTCAGTTTAGTGGTGGGAGAAGGGTTGTTTTCACTGGCCTCTGACAAAAAAACAATTCATGAATGTGACTGCCATTTACCTGTAGAAATACAGCTACAATTCAGCACAGTAATGAGTTTAAAGGTATGTTTTAAGGATATTTATAAAGATATAAATACTTTGCTTACTCTGGCAATCAAACAGAAGAAAAAAGTTCTTTTCAAAACACCTTTTTCAAGGTTTCTGAGGACTATTTTTAAACTTTATTGCCAGAAGTAATCTACCACAAAGACCTAAGCACCAGCAAGAAATGAATCTCCAGTGTGACTGCTATGCATACCTTGTCATTTCCTCTGCACAGATGACCAATCTTCACTTCTTTCATCTTCTAACTTGGTTCCCCAGTAAGTCATTCTTTCTGTTTCAAAAAAGAATGAAGAAAAAAAAAAAAAAGAAAAAAGAAATGTACATTTTATCATTATGAGGAGACAAAATGAGGAACAGACATAGAGATACTCAATGCAGGCCTTCCAGTCTTTTCTGCAGGTGAGGAATATGCTTCAGTAGAAGGCCAGTGTCCCACTTCAAACTTATTTTGAAAGCCTTAACCGAGGTTAAGCGGGGCCAAGCAATTTTAAAGAAAACTTAACAGATAAAAAGATTTAAACCTTTAATCCTGAGTATCAGCCTTGTTTTTAGTCCTTTAAAATTACCGATTGGTAGTAGAAAGATTAAGTGTGCTCAGAGTCATCAGCCAAGTGTGGACATCAATACATCAGGTATGAATTATTCATGAAATGTAGTATTCGGCAGTTCAGTCTCAGTAGCCAGTGCTCGTAACATTTTGTGATAATGTATTTGTGCCAGTCATGCCTTTGCATGCGCTTTGTGATCACAGTCAAATATAGAAAGCACAGGTTTTGTTTTCTTGTATTGTGCCAGTGATAGAACCGTGGGGAACGTGAAACAACACCCTAGAAAAATTATTCTGGGTCATCCCCAAGAAGTGATGCTATGACTGTTCTCTGCGTACTCATCAGACCCCACGTTAAATCCCTTCACTTCTTATCGCTTCAAGTTTTCTCCAGTTAATTCTGCTGCTGTTTTTTGAAGAAAGGCTACTTTTCTCCACAACATCCTTAAAATTCGTCTATATCCAACAGCCCATCGAATCTTCTTGGAATACTCTTTTCCTCCAACAAAATTCACTTCCCATTTTGGCAGTCTCAATCTGTGACCACCATAATATGCAAGTGCTTCACAACTCCTGTTGAATGCCACCCTCACAACCTCACAGCAGAAAAATGATTGCCTTCATTTATAGAATAGGAAGGTAAAGAGACACGGAGAGGATACAGCTCACTTTAACTGTCTAAATTAAGATGACAGAACCATATATAGTGCCAGTAGATGAAGGGTTCTTCAGAGAAATCTGTCGTACATATCTCACATAGGTACCCTGAACCAACCCCTGAGGGGCCTCTCTCTTCTTCTCTCTCTATAGTAGCACCTTAGAAATATCAATTACATATACACGCACCTACATTAAATTTAAGTACAAGTGAATATTCTCTTCACTGCCAAGTCTAAGATCAAAGTCCTACAAAAGCATCCTAAAAATGAGGTTTGGGTTACCCACTGCGAGATACCTGGCCTTGGAATGAAATGCAGGAAGGCATCAGAGTTCCCCATACAATCTACAGGGAGAACTAAAGGCTTCAGACTGGTATTCCCATGCCTGGATATCAGACAGGTCTTCATACCAATGCCCATCCACTCCTCATGCCAACCCTCTCTTTCTGTGAAGACATCAAGTACGTTAGTGTTACAGTTTTTGTAAGTTGGGGTGTGTGTGTGGGGGTGTGTGTGTGTCCCACTTTGTTTGCTTTATGTCCCAAACTGATTTTCTATTTTTTCCCCCCTGTTTCAATATTGCATTTTCACTCCACAGTATACCTTTATACTTTTCCCACTTTTTTCCTTTGGTAACACTTTTCTCTCCTGTTGCTGCTTCCATAGTTCACCCAAGTACTAGAACAGTCTGTTGTTTTTTTGTTTTTTTTTTTTCTCAAAGCCACCGTCTTAGCACTGCTTTATTTTGCTTTAGCGGTCAGAGACCAGCTCATCTTCTTCTGCTCCTTTGGTGACATAATATTTCACTCTCTATTTAACTTTGAAATGTGCCAGTACATCTGTGTACCATTCTGAACAGCTGAGAGAATTTATTTTAAACTGTCACTCAGTTTATTAATAAAGAAGAAAAATGCACGTGTATATTTTTCCTTAAAATAGAATATAGGTACTGTACAAAAATGTACATGAAAATAATCTCAGCCTCAGTCAGACATGTGGCTAATGGGAACCCACAGGCAGAAAAAAGCCCAGACACAAGATGGGATAGAAATGCTACAGATAAAGAAACTCTTCAAACTTGACTGCCTTAAAGCTGTGTAAAGAATATGTGTTGATACAGTGCCATATTGAGATTTTATAGACATGGTTTTCAGACTATTCCATTATTACAGTAGGCTACAAACCTGCAGATGTTTAGACATGAAGAACTTTACTCAGTCGTGTCAGTGTTTTCATGACTGGGTCTTAAATTCCTTCTCCTGAGAGCTAGTAAGAAAACCCTCACTCTTAGATGTATCATAGAAGAGCAGCAGTTGCCAGATATTTCTGTTGAAAGATGAGAACGTACAACAAGAAACACCATATTAAACTCGTGTCTGTTTTCTGAACTGCACCATGCCCGTGCTTCAAGGACTTACTTAGCTATGGAATTCAAATTAAAGATGTGTTTATGTATTGTTCTGAATTGGGACATTACTGAACAATCTGGAACAATCAGATATATTGTTCCCCAAGCAACAAATGTGACCTTCTTCAACAAGAACTGTATTTTAATACTGTGAGTAAAAGCAAAAAGAGAAGGCAAACAGCGGGAGCGTGTTAACTACAGCAGTGGAGACAGCAAAGTGATCCAGCCTGAGAGCCACAGAACTAACAATAACGCATCTCTGGAACAGAGCAAAGTTGTCCTTTGTATTTAATATCTACACGCTGAAACAGTTAAGCAAGTCAACATCTAGGTTTAGCCAAAGACACAGAGCTGGTGTTTCCTCACTAATCCATCGCGCCAAAAGAGGTGCTAAAGATAACCTCAAGGGTTAATGGCTGGCAGTGGAGATCGGTGTACCTGTTTTAGCTTAACCTGAGTATATATTTTTGAAGGCCTACGGGATAAACCACCCTTTTACCATGGCAGGTTTCAATAGAACAGGATTGCTGTTTTAACTCATGCTCTTAAAAATGTAATTCCTATACACAATTCTTACACACACAATGACAGCAGTGCAGTGCAAAATGCCAAACACTGCACAACTGACACGTAATGGCCACTAAAACGGAAAAGCCACAGTTCACTGGATAGTGATGCAAGATGTTTACTTGATGGAAAGAAAGGAGAAATTATCCTTCTGACTGATTAAAACCCCCCCCAAACAACATGACTGACCAGAACCCCATTGCTGTTTTGGTTTTTTTTTTTTGACTACTTGAACAAGAGCATTCAAGGAATTTTTTGAGGACTTGCCACCAAGAGCAGTAGGTTTGAACCTACATTACCTCTTAGTTGACTTCCAGAAAGTGGAACTCCGTTGACCCACTTCTACATGAATTATTTTATTCATGCAGCAAAATATTAGTGAGCTGTAATTTACAGTGAGCCTTAACAAAACTACTGTGCTAATTTTCACAACTTTTACAGATTCTCCTTCCCTCCTCCTCCTCCGTGACTGCTGACCAATCTTTCTTGAGGAGTTTTAACATTTTTTCCTCTCTGATATTCAAAGATCCCTGTGTATGCCACCTGAGTCATGGAGTGAAAATATTTGCTTCTCTTAATTCCAAAATCTGAGATCGGAAATTAGCAGAAAATTCCTATAAAGAATTAAAAGCACTTGCTCTGAGTGGCTCTCTTTAGGGAAATCCTTCCTTTCAAAATCATACTCACTTATAGCAACTGGGTTTCAATAATCTATCACATGATGCTTTCAAAAAATTGCTTCTTTGTTGTCTTCCCATAGAAAAAGTCTTGCTCCAACTACTACTAAGAATACTAAAAGAAGTTCCTGAACTTACCCAAGAGCATTCATGTACAAAAAAATATCAAATGCTCATTTCTGTTTCACACGGACACATACTCTTAAACAGCAACCTACCGTTCTTGAAGTAGGAATCTGAGTTAACAAAAACTGATTTGAGCTCTAAATGGTCCTTGAACAATCTCGTGTCCTCAGTGGTAGCTTGATGGGTTTGATACTTTTTTAACTTTATAGGACTTTATTCAACTTTCAAGAAAATAAGGATCTCCTAAATATATCTTGGAAAACTGTAACTCATTTCTGCTGCACCTGTTCAAAGATAATCTTGGTGGAAGTAAGAGAACATATGAAAAGCATGACATAGTATTTGTGGTCAAACGCAGTTACATGACTGACACGTCGGAGATGAACCCTACTAAAATGCAACGGGTAAGGTGTTTTATCCTCACAGTAGGATCTCCATGAAGTGACATCACTAATTCCATTTTAGGAAAATGTTGGCTATCAATCTTTTTCGGAATAATCTCTTATTTGCCAAAAGACATCCTAGGTGTGGTAACTACAGCTATTTCCTATGCCCATAAGCTCCACAGCCTGACTGTGCAACTTCACTAAAACACTTCTGTGCAAAATGCAAATTTTTTGTGGCACGACGACACTTCAAGCAACAATAGAAAATTGCTTCTGCAGTCAAAGTCTTCAAAACACCTGCAAAGACCAAAATAATGGGGTTTATGCTGAAGTAATAAGGAAACAATCAAGGCAAATCAGAACCATTATGTAAAGAAGCAGGTTACTAAAAATAATTAAGACTGGGTTAGTTATTGATTGCAATTTGAACAACCTTGTGTTTACTGTCACTGAAGACGAGTGCTCATACAATTAGATCACTTGCAAACGGCTGGAATACATGGACTTAACCCCGTTTGACACGATGCACTGTGCAGGCCCATATGCTAAAATATGGTATTGTGAATCCAGTCATACAAATTGCAGGTTTTAGTGTAAGAATGCTCCAGCCTACGGCAACTGTAGTCCAGAGTGATTTCCCACGTGCAGTACAACCAACAAATAACCACAGCACTTCTGCCTATTTATTCCATATACATACCACTTGTATTTTTTTTTCATAACTACAGTCTACTAATCCCTGCTGGAAACAAGACAGTAGGACAGACAGACCCTTGGTCTGGTTCAGACTGTTAATTCTTAAATTCTTATGATTTCTAATCGAGGAGACTGTGTTTCTCAAAGTTTTGTTTAACATACACGCATATTGAAGTTGCCACGACTTCTCGGGTTGTAATAATTC